GTGTTGGTCTGCTGGAATCCGAAGGCCTGGATGGCATGCTGCACCCGAAGAGCAAGGCTTTCATCCCAGCGCCGAAGGTGGAAGATAGTTGCTAGCGAGGTTTCTGTCGCTACAAAGAAGGCATGTGCACTAGAACAACCAAGGGCCCTCTCGGAACGTTAGGTCGGCCAACACCACCTGGGCGACGCTGAGCAAGACGACAGGAAATCCCGCTTCCAGTGCATTACTACCCCTGGAAGAGCTGAATCCGAGCCGGTTCACTGCCTCCTCGTAATGCAAGCTCATGCACATGGCGACCCAATAGCGCCCACGCGAACACAAAGTCCGAATGTCGGCTTGCCGTCGTGCCTGCTAAGGGGGTGTTACGGAGACACTGCATATGGTGGACTCGGTCATGTGCAATTTCGGGGAGGACTCTTTGGAACGCTTGAGAAAGAGCCAGATGCAGCATACTTACCGTGTCCGCCTTGGTTCGCGAAGTATCGTAAGCGACAGGGGACGGCTAACCTGACTTCTGACTGGCTCCGCACGGGATATGACCGTCCGGTAAACAACTCCACGGTGAGGCAGGAAGTGAGCCACAGGGCTGTGTCTCATCACCTCATCACCTAGCGGCTCCACCTGCGTATGGTTAGGTAGGAGGTCCAAAACTGCGAATCTCCGTGCCTCCCATGATCCAGCAACATTAGGATCGCCCGTGGTGCCAAGATCCTGAGGACGGTCAGAATTTGGGAGCAGCCCACGTGAAGTGAAGTGCAGCAAGGCCCGCTTTCCGGGTATTCACAAAGAGTGGAAACCATCTTTCTTTGTAGGTGCCCTTCCATTGCATTCTGGCAAAAAGATGCCGAACAAAGAAGAGAAAATGTGGAATGGAGAGAAAGCAACGGCTGTCTTTCCGCTTTCTGGAGCTGGGGGAGCAGGCATTTGACCAGAGCTTGGTAATCACCCCGCCGCTCCACCGATTGGCCGCAAAGGCAAAATTGCTTCTGGGACAGGAGTAGGGAAGTTTTGATCAGTCTCCAGCGCCAGTGTAAGGTCGGAGGCTTCCAGTTGACAGGGTCGGGAGGCAGCTCCGCTCTAGTTGAGCGCATGCAACTTTAGATTGGCTCTTGCGCAGCCCTGGCGTGTACAGTGGCAGGTTTGATCTTCCGCCAGGGCGGGAGGTCAGCATCCTCGATTGGGGGTGGGCATGCTTGCATGGACGCGCTTGTGCTCACGCCTGATGCTTGTCCAGGCGGCGGCGGCGGCCTGTGCTAACAGAGGTTGGGGCATGGGGGCTGTTCCCCGGTGCAAAGGTGATTGGCTGACTGGGCACTGTAATACGAGAGGGTAAGGGTGACCTCCCTTCCCTTTTCTGCAGCAGGGGCGTGTTTGGCCCACGGCGGCAAACCCACGGGGGTCGACGACCACGAAGGTGCGACATTGGCGCGGCTGGCCAGAGCGATGCTGCGTCCAACTTCCTGGTTCCTGACGCCCCGAGTGCAGAAGAAAACAACGCACGGTGTGCTGTGGGGCGAAACAGATCGTGTTGCTGTCTCAGAAAGGATGCGTGATGATGCGTGTTCAGATCGAAGTCGATGCTGAACTGCCCCTGAGAGAGGGGACCACCCGTCGACATTAGCTTGCGCGGGCATAATGCATTCTGCCTGCAGGGCTTTGGTCATTGCAATGTCGCTTGTGCCCGAGGTGGCCAGTGCGGTGAGGTTGCCTCTTCTGGCTACACATACCTGAATAGTGGCAGAACCCACTGGCAGAGTGTAACTTTGACATGAGTACGCTTCCATGGCAACAGCTACCTGCGGCAGGTGCGCATGAAGCAGAGCAGACAGTTAAGGCAAACCATCAGGCTGATTAAAGGCAAACAAATAAAAAACGCAAGACCTAAAGCTTCACTCAGAGAGCAACCGACCCAGCCCCGAGACACGCCCCTGTTCTACTGCTTGAGCCGTTGGACAGGTAATAGCAATTGATGCAGGCACCGGAATGCTGTCTTCTGTTGAGCATGTAGACAAGACCCTTCTTAGACGAGCACGCGGGGAGCAGCCAGGGGTTATGGTAAGCGAATGGGCCCCATGCAGACATAAGCTTGTGGCGAGGCGGCAAATGTCGACACCGGGATGTGAAGGCTCACATCTCTTCTGACTGCTTGCAGCAGGTCAAGGATTTGTGGGGTGTGGATGGCTTTGGTCCAGTTGGTGCCATCAGGCAGCAAGACTGGTGGTGATTCTGCCTCTCCAGCAGGCCAGGCGCATGCAAGAGTGGTGTTTTGGAAGGCCAGGTTGTTCTACAGATGCTCCATGCAACCCTGCCAAGGCAAGAGATGATTCTCGTGGAACCCGTAGTTTTGGTCGTGAACGTTGAAGCTCCTGGGCGTTTGCGCTTTGAAAGTGACGGTTTTTCGTGCTTCGATGCAATCGCTGTGTCTCGTTCTTGTAAAGCGTCAACCGACAATGTGTCCACAATCTGTATCGAACCAAAGAAAACAGAAACCCCCCATTAATTTATGCTCTAGCTTGCCAGACTGGTCTTTGGTTGGCATTCAAGACAAGTAGTCTGCAGTTCCCTCTGTTGGAGTTCCAAATGAAACTTTGACTTTCTTCTTGGCTATTCTTCGAATTTTGAGGGAGACTGACTTCTAAATCGGGCCGCCTCTGGCTCAAAATGGGTGAACTTGTGTTCTCAGAAAAGAAATCCACAATCCACCCATTTTCGGTGTCCGGAGTGAAGCTGTTTTTTGGAACTTGTTTCAGTTTCAAAAATGCTGCAGTTGGTGCAGTCAACTCACAAGAACAAGATGTTCTGTCCATATTTGGATCAAGGAAAACAGAAAACGTCGTTTAGAAACCGAACTGTCTCCAACTGTGGAGGTCATCTGACGTGTTCTTCGTTTTTTGGAATTTTTTCGACCCTGAAAATGGATCCTTGACGGGCCGCGTGGCGTTGCGGTTTCGAGCATGTCTTGAAGTGTAGGCCTCTGCCAATTTCTCGCGTAGCAGTCCACCTGCTTCCCAACATGCAGATTGTGCACCAGTGAAGCACTAGCAGCTCACTAGCAAAGAAGCCCAAGAGATGGAAGAGGAAGATCACAGGAACCCACCATGCATGTGCCGGATTGCTTGGCCATGTTACAGGAGATTGACATGTGCATTTTGTTTTGTTTCCCGTCTGTTACGGTTGCGGAGGATCACTGGCGGCGGCACATCCCAATTATCCCGCTTGGGCCACCCTTCCGAGGTCAAGACAATTGGTATCCGCCCGAGCTTTCTGCTATTGGCTTGCATGAACATTCTTCGCCCACTGACCCTCCAAATGAGCTATTTTTTGCCTCAACAAGAAGTCTGTAGTTGTACTCCACTAAACCTTTTTAAACCCCTGAAGTGCCCGCGGATAGTTGGGACACATGTTTACTGGGTTGGTTCATAAATTTCAACGCCAAGTTGCGGGCTCAGAAACACAGCACACCTCAGCTTTTTCTATACTCTTTCTCATTGTGGGGTAACATTTTTCATTTCAAAGGGCAATTAAACTCAATAAGAAAAAGACCTTCACATCTTTAATACTATCCCAACTGAACCAGTGCTGACAGGACAATGTGGGTCTTCGGATTTCTTAGGCACAAGTGGCAGGCTGACCTGGCTTTTCGGACAACTTGGTAATATGAAACAGGGTTCGTACTACTGTTATTGGTGAGTGTATTAAGAGTCTCTTTTCAATATTGGTGAGTGTATATGTTGGGTGGCCTATTGTGGTTACAAGGAATAACGGCCTGCTTCATATCGGGCAATCACTTCCCCGAAATACCAACCCCCCCCTCCCACCTGGACCCAAACGTTTTGCATTTAGGAGCGGGGTTGGTTCGGATGACAGTTCGCACCCACACTTGGAGGTTCATGGTATTCATTAACCAAGTAGAACTGGACTTATAACTTGGGTTCGGCCGGTCCACACTAACAGTCAAATAACGCCGTGGCCTTATAACACACAGGCCAAAAATAGCACCAGGAATCCCAGTCAATTTTAGCATTTACCGGGTGTTTTTTTTTTTGTGGGTCTGCTGGTGGTGACTGTTAGTCACATAGCAGCAGAAATAGCACCAGAAATAGCACAAACAATAGCACAAAAAATAGCACCAGAAATAGCACAAACAATAGCACAAAAAATAGCACCAGAAATAGCACAAACAATAGCACCAGAAATAGCACCAGGAATCCCAGTCAATTTTCGCAGCTTAGCATTTACCGGGTGCTGTTTTTTGTGGGTCTGCTGATGGTGATTGTTAGTCACATAGCACCAGCAACAGCACCAGAAATAGCACCAGAAATAGCACATACAATAGCCCAAAAAATGGCACCAGAAATAGCACAAACAATAGCACAAAAAATAGCACCAGAAATAGCACCAGGAATAGCACAAAAAAATGCACCAGAAATAGCACCAGAAATAGCACCAGGAATAGCACCAGGAATAGCAGGAATCTCAGTCAATTTTTTGGCATTTACCGGGTGCTTTTATTTGTGGGTCTGCTGGTGGTGACTGTTAGTGTGGACCGGCCGAACCCAACTTATAACTGTACGTGTTACCATATTAGGGCACTTAAGGGGCTTATAAGTGGGTTGTAATAAGTACAGTTATAGTTGGTTAATAAGTACCATGAACCTCCAAAATGTTTCAAGGGCACCTTCGTGTTCTCTTGAAAGCTGTTTACCCTAAACCCGAAGTCTAAACCGATTACCCAACTTATGGCTGGGGAGCCGTTCGCCAAGGCATTGATTCCGAAGCTGTGCAGCCAACAAGGTTTGAGAATGTAACCCAGGGCTTAAGACGTTTAAGCGTTTAGGGTTTTAGGGCTCAAGGTGTTAGGGTTTATGAAACCACGTTTTCATTTCAACATTAGAGTGAAGAGGAAGAGTATTCTTCAACACGTCACGGCGCAGTATTTGAACTAAGGATAGCCCGTGTGCCTTTGAAAGTTATGCCTTGTAGTTCCCGTGCGGCGAGCGATGGATAACGCTGCAAGTTTCAAGCACCGATGTTTGTATTGCGACGAAGCATTCGGATCCAAGAACAAGCTCCTCTCATTGCATAGAGAAGCTCATGGAAGGTTCCACGTTTGTCGGATTTGAGGCAACTTCAAGGACGGTAATGACACTATGCTTTCACAGTGGTTTGTTCTGAGTGCTCAACTTGTCGACGTTTGTGAGGGGTGCTCGGTTCTGTGGGCCGTTCCCTAAAACTTTAGACTCCGAACCCCTAAACCCTAAAACCCAACACCCTAACACCCTAAACCCCAAAAACCCTGAAACCCCGAACCCCTGAACTCCTAATCGGTAAAACCGCAAACCCTAAAACCGAAGTCTTACTGCCGTAACCTCAACCCTCAACCCTGCTTACGGTTTGAGGTTGAGGAGTGCTTGGAGCTTAGGGCTTGGGTTCGAGAGGGTAGCAGGGTTGAGGGTTAGGTCTAGGGCTTGGGTTTACGGTTCAGGGTTCGAGAGGGGCTGAGGGCTGAGGGCTGAGGGCTGAGGGCTGAGGGCTGAGGGCTGAGGGTTGAGGGTTGAGGGCTGAGGGTTGAGGGTTGAGGGTTGAGGGTTGAGGGTTGAGGGTTGAGGGTTGAGGGTTGAGGGTTGAGGGTTGAGGGTTGAGGGTTGAAGGTTTAGGTTCAGGTTCAGGGTTCAGGGTTCAGGGTTCAGGGTTCAGGGTTCAGGGTTCAGGGTGTTTAGGGTGATTCCCTAAGGCTTTAGGATACATCTCTGACCCAGGCGCCCCCAAACCCTAAACCCTAAACCCTAAACCCGAAACCCTAAACCCCAAACCCTAAACCCTGAACCCTGAACCCCAAACCCTAAACCCTAAGCCCCAAGCCCGAGAAACCTATACCCGAAGCCTCCGGCAGCCGAATCTTCACAGTTGCGCCATTCCCTGCACTGCTGAAACGAGGTCGCAAAATCCCTAAATACTTAAACTTAAACCTCTATTTCAGAGTTTAGGGTTTTAGGGTTAGGGTTTCCGGCTTCAGGGTTTAAGGTTTAGGGTTTTAGGCTTTAGGGTTTAGGGTTTGGAGCTTTAGGGCAATCAATCCCTGCATCCGTAAGCCCTGAAAGCCTAAAGCGCTCCCGTCCCTTCTTTAAGCCCTAAGCCCTAAAAGCCCCCTAAAAGCCCTAAAAGCCCCAAAAGCCCCAAAAACCCTAAAAGCCTTAAAAGGGCTAAAAAGCCCTAAACGCGCTAAAAGCCCTAAGCCCTTAAGCCCTTACAGTTTAGGGATTATTGGTTTAGGGTTTAGGGTTTAGGGTTTTGGGGTTTAGGGTTTAGGGTCTAGAGGGTCACTGTTCGAGCATTCATAGTCATTAGGGGGTTCCAGGCTTAGGAAAAAAACCACCCGCCCAAAGAATCCCATAACATTAAGAAAATATAAAGTTTTCATCCAAGGACTTGCCTTAATCGACGAAGGACTTGCCTTATTCGACGAAGGACTTGGCTTATTCGACGAAGGACTTGGCTTATTCGACGAAGGACTTGGCTTATTCGACGAATTCATTAGGGTTTAAATAAATAAATAAATATAAAAATAAATAAATAAAAAAACGAATAAATAAATAAATATATATATATATACATACATATATATATATATGAAGAGAGGTTTAGGGTTTAGGGTTTAGGGTTTAGGGTTTAGGGTTAGGGTTTAGGGTTTAGGGTTTAGGGTTTAGGGCAAGCCTTAACCCCTACATCCCCCAACGCCTGCTGAGGCTGTTTACGCACCTCCGGAACTCGCCGTGCTCGACGCAAGCTGCAGCAGACGGCCTGGAGCTCACCAAGAAACAGGAGCGCCGCTTTTCATGGAGTGGATTTGGGGTTTGGGGTTTGGGGTTTGGGGTTTAGGGTTTAGGGTTTAGGGTTCAGGGTTCAGGGTTCAGGGTTTGCCCAAGTCATGTCTGGAGGTATAGGGGAGGCTGCCCTCAACCCCAAACTCACTGGGTGCCCTTTTCTAGGTGCGGCTGCCCCTAAACCCCAATCTCACTGGGTGCCCTTTTCTCTAACAAGCTTTCGGGAGTCCCCAGAAAGTGTGTCGAGGGGGCCTCATAAGATGTCGGGAGAGCCCCAAAACGGGAGGGCCTCAAAAAAGAAAGCAAAAAGGCACAGAAATGCACCAAGGGGCTGGCCCCAAAAAGCCTCCGGCAGGGCCTAAACAGGCCAAATCACGTTTTGACAGAACGTTAGGGGAAGAACTATTCGTTCAAGAGTTTCGTTCAAGACGTTTCGTTCAAAATGTTGCGTTCAAGACATCATTGGGGGGCACAAAACTCGTCTGTTGGGACCCAGTTCGCTTTTTGAAAGAATGGGGTCGAAAAGAGGTGCTTTGTTCAGATAGTTTCGTTCAAAACGTGTGGTTCCAATCTTTCGTTCCAAACGTTTCGTTCGAAACGCTTCGTTCAAAACGTTTCGTTCGAAGCTGTCGTTCAAAAGATTCTGGAACCCAAGCCCTATACAATTTCTATTTGGGGAGGTTGGGCGAGAGGGTGCAACGCTCCCTGTGTGGGGTGGGGGAGTGGGCCAGATTCTGGGATTCACCCCTGCCCTGACTTCCCCGAGCACAAAGATGTAAACCACCTTTGACTAAGCTATATCGGTATTTCCCAAAATAGGGGTACCCTTTTTATGCCCCGAATAGAATAGAAACCCCTTAAAAGGACCCCCAAAAAGGGCACCCCTATTTTCGGGGGGGGGGGATGCAACGAAAGCCCAAGCATGCATAATCCTGCGCTTACTTGGAGGGTCATGGGTACGCATAGGATAGGACTAATTACAAGTGGGGCAACAATAGCTACAGCTATAAACTTACTTACGGTACGACTAACCTACTGATTTTTAAGTGCCCCTGAACCTCAAAGTGCAAGTACGGGCCCCAAGTTATATGTAGGGTGAGAATGGCCCTAAAGTATAGGTTATAAGTCTGATCATTTAGGTTTCAACTCCCTTAACTGAGGTTTTCGTAGAGTAAGCCCCTACTAGCAGGGGTGGTGGGGGGTGGGCGGGGGGCAGTTCCCATCAAAACGCAAATTCCGGCATACTTCAAAGATTCGAAACTAAGTAATTGGGGCGTCCTGCAGAACGCTTCCTTCAAAACTGTTGTTCAAAAACGTTATGGGGACCCAAGCCCTATACAATGTCTGTAAACCCAAAAGGCCGCCTGTGAGTATGTGGCACCTCAGACGGGTTGAGGGTTTAGGGTTTAGGGTTTAGGGTTTAGGGTTTAGGGTTTAGGGTGTCAAGTTGCCTCTATGATAAAGGCCTCAACCCCTCAACCCCGTCTGAAGCTTCTCTAAACTATACACACCCGAGCCCCCGCAACTTGCACCCGCTCCACCTTCCCCCCTAGACTGGGGTTGATCTTAATTTTCCAGCCTTATGAGCCCTAAGTGTTTAACCCTTCCATAGCCAATCGAAAATGCCATGTTAAAGGTTTCCGAAGTTCCACTCCGCCTACAGGGGGGTTTTTAGGGGAACCCATAGACATCCTAAACCCGATACGCTAAACCCTAAACCCGAAACCCGAAACCCGAAACCCTAAACCCTAAACCCTAAACCCTAAACCCTAAACCCTAAACCCTAAACCCTAAACCCTAAACCCTAAACCCTAAACCCTACCCACCCCAGTAACCTCCAAAAACTCAGACAGGAGCGGGTCGCTTTGATCTTCGGGGTGGCCTCCCGACTGTACAACCCGGTGGCACTGCAGTGGTAGGTGTTTAGGGTTTTGAGGGCTTAAACCCTAAACCCTAAACCCTAAACCCTAAACCCTAAACCCTAAACCCTAAACCCTAAACCCTAAACCCTAAACCCTAAACCCTAAACCCTAAACCCTAAACCCTAAAACCAAGACCCTAAACCCTAAACTTGGATGCCCCAAAGACTGCTTTGCTCGGTTTTTCTGTTCCATGTTCCACACGAGAGACCATGGCAAGAACGCATGTCTGCGTTCATAAACCCTAAACCCTGAACCCTAAACCTTAAACCCTAAACCCTAAGCCCTAAACCCTAAACCCTAAACCCTGAACCCTGAACCCTAAACCCTAGCCCTAAACCCTACACCCTGAACCCGCAGCCCTAAGCTGTTGAACCTTGCAAGCCCCAGACTCAACCCTATGTCCTACGCAAAGCCAAGAACGTGCTCAACAAAAACTCAACCCCCCATTTAAGCCCTTGAATTAAAACTTGTAATTCTGAAGCCTGAACCCTAAGCCCAAGACCCTCCAATCCTGAACTCCAAGACCCAAAGCCCTCAAACCCCTTAGGGGGTTAAACCCTAGACCCTAAACCAAAGACCCGAAACCCTGAGCCCTCAAGGCATTCAAGGCGTTTTAAGGAGGGTCTGACAGCAAGGCCTGCTCCGACTGGCGCTTGCCCCTGTGGCGTGCCCTCGACGCCGCCCGGGGGGGTGGCGTGAGCTACGCGGCGTCGGACGGACCGCCGGGAGCCCCAGGAGGGTTTAGGGTCTAGGGTTTAGGGTTAGGGTTTATGGAGTTTAGGGGGTTTAGGGGGGCTTTAGGGGTTTTAGGGCGTTTCGTTTAGGGTTTTAGGGTTTGCCTTTTTGGGCTTTGGGGTTTAGGGTTCTAGGCTTTCGAGGGTTTAGGGCTCCTCCTTTCAGGAGTTTGTGAACTCGAAAGTTCAAAATAGTCGAAGGGGTATAAGGAGGGACCCCTAGAAGGGACCCTCAATCTTATTCCCCTATGTAACTCCTTTCTAATCCCTACACATTCCTTATGTTGTCCCTATGTACCTAAGTAGCCCCTAAATGACCCCTCAGGTCCCTTGCAAGGGTTCCCCGTTTAGACCCTTGAAAGGTAGTCCTTAGAGCCCAAACTTTTTTTAAACTTTCTAGATGCGCAGGGTTTGAGGGTTTACAGGTTTGGACTTAGGGCTTTTAGGGCTGTGGCTTTTGGGTTTGAGGGTTTCAGGGTTTAGGGGTTTTCGGGGGCTTCATGAAGTGCTGGTCGAGGGCTTTTAGGGTTTGGGGATTCGGAAGTTCAGAAAAAGCGGACCAGGCTTGGATAACACAGGCAATCGCACAGCAGTGCTGCTGCTGCTGCTGCTGCTCCAGGGATGCTAGGGCCGCTAGGGCCAAGTTCAGCCCTCAACTGAAATTGTATGTGGCGTCATCTGGGATGGAAACCCTAAACCCTAAACCCTAAACCCTAAACCCTAAACCCTAAACCCTAAACCCTAAACCCTAAACCCTAAACCCTAAACCCTAAACCCTAAAACCTAAAACCTTAAACCCTAAACCCTAAACCCTAAACCCTAAACCCTAAACCCTAAACCCTAAACCCTAAACCCTAAACCCTAAACCCTAAACCCTAAACCCTAAACCCTAAACCCTAAACCCTAAACCCTAAACCCTAAACCCTAAACCCGGAACCCGGAACCCGAAACCCGAAACCCGAAACCCCGAGCCCAGCTTGCCAGGCCCGGGGCTGCTTTTGCATCTGACCGACATGGCAACGACCCGGCGCAGAGGGTGGGGGTCTGGGTTTAGGGTTTAGGGTTTCGGGTTTAGGGTTTAGGGTTTTAGGGTTTAGGGTTCAGGGGTTTAGGGTTTAGGGGTTAAGGGCTTTAGGGGTTTAGGGTTTAGGGTTTAGGGTTCAGGGTTCAGCATCTCAAGTCCAAGCATTCACTAGTCAAGCAATTACTCCAGGAAAATACCCACCCGCCCAAAGAATCCCACAACATTAAGAAAATATTTTACTTATAGAACGACCTTGCCCATGCCCAATAAAACGGCGACCTTGCCCAGTATAACAGCGACCTTGCCCAGTAAAACGGCGACCTTGCCCAATAAAACGGCGACCTTGCCCAGTAAAACGGCGACCTTGCCCAGCAAAACAGCGACCTTGCCCAGTAAAACGGCGACCTTGCCCAGTAAAACGGCGACCTTGCCCAGTAAAACGGCGACCTTGCCCAGTAAAACAGCGACCTTGCCCAGTAAAACGGCGACCTTGCCCAGTAAAACGGCGACCTTGCCCAGTAAAACAGCGACCTTGCCCAGTAAAACGGCGACCTTGCCCAGTAAAACGGCGACCTTGCCGACCTTGCCCAGTAAAACGGCGACCTTCGGACACCACCCCATGCCCAGTAAAAATGCTACCTTCGGGGAGGTCGCATTTTTACTGGGCAGGGGCGGAAGGTCGCCGTTTTACTGGGCAAGGTCGCCGTTTTACTGGGCAAGGTCGCCGTTTTACTGGGCAAGGTCGATTTTTTTGACCGAACTGACCTTGCCCAGTAAAACGGCGACCTTGCCCAGTAAAACGGCGACCTTGCCCAGTAACTCCTTAACATTTAAATTATATATGAAAGAGAGGTTTAGGGTTTGGGGGTTTAGGGTTTAGGGTTTAGGGGTTTAGGGTTTAGGGGGTTAGGGGTTTAGGGTTTGGGGGTTAAGGGCTTTAGAGGTTTAGGTTTAGGGTTTAGGGTTCAGGGTTTAAGGGGTTTAGGGTTTAGGGTTTCAAGTTTAGGGGTTTAGGGTTTAGGGAATGGGATGTTCCCCCTTGTTTCTAACAGTCCTTAATAGGCATCATTAGGAGGGTACTGTACTCCCTATTGAGGACTGTTAGTATAAGGGGCAACATCCCAAGGGGTAGGATTTCATGGGTTTCATTCGACTTCGATTTTCTTTGATCTCTGCCTGCGTTCTCGTCGAGAGTTTCCCGAGAGCCCTCAGGCCCTCAGCAGCCCTGAGCCCTAGAAACCCCCAAGCTTGGGATGTTTCCCCTGATACTAACGGCTCCTTAAAAGAGGGATTCTAGTACCCCATATTAGGTTCCCTATGAAGGACTGTTTGAAAAGGGGGAACATCCCAAGCCTGAAGCCTTCAAACATGGCAGAGCTCCAAGTCCTTACTTTCAACCCGGGCTTTTTCTTGTTTTTGTCCCCAAGCCCGCCCGAAGAAGACAAAGGGGGTTTAGGGTTTAGGGTTTAGGGTTTAGGGTTTGGGGTTTAGGGTTTAGGGTTTAGGGCTGTAGGGCTTTAGGGCTGTAGGGTTTCGGAAGCGTCGGATTCATGAGGGCTTTCACGCGAGCTGACGGGAATGCAACAAGTTCAGCGCGAGGGAAGCTCGGAGGGCGCCGTCGCCTGTGGACCACAGATGGGCCCACTGGTGCTTAGTCGGGAACGAGGGAATTACCCTTTTAGGAAGAATTGTGCGTATGAAGGCTGTGAAATACATGGTTTTCACGAGGTTTGAAACTTGGTGAAACCTGGTGAAACATGGTGCACTTGGTGAAATTGAGTGTGGTGGTGTCCCTTAACTCACAAATTCCTGATTCACCGTGCGTGGTCAGCACAAAGCGTGAAGACACAGAAAGCCTTCATCGCCAGGACTTGCCAAAAGCGTGTGATGTGCTCAGCTTGAGCACAGAAGTCGTGCCGGAGGAGGAGTTCGATGATCTGGGTTTGCAACCCCAGACCGTAAACCCTAGCCCAAACTCTAAACCCCACACGCTAACCCTGAAAGAAGAAGGCCTTAAACCCTAAAATCTGAACATTAACCCCAAAAATCTTAAAGCCATCCCCGTGTGGAAGAAATAGGAACGTGATGATCCCGTCACCGTCTCGACTTTACCTTGTCTGCTACTTGGAGGTCCATGGGTACTTAGAACCGCAGTCATAAGTCTACTTATAGCCGGCTTGGAGACTCAGGGAGTTTAGGGTTTAGGGTTTAGGGTTTAGGGTTTAGGGACTTCTAAGTGCAGGTACAAATGGGTTGTCAGTTCCCTGAGCCTCCGAGTCGTGTGATTTAAGGGGATTTTCTGCCCTTGTTTTAGGGTTTAGGGTTTGGGGGTTTAGGGTTTGGGGTTTAGGGTTTAGGGGTTTGGTGGTATGTACGGAGAGACCCCAAGTTTTGGAAGCGCCCACTTGCACTTCCACGTGTGGTTGCCCTAAAGCCTAAACCCTAAACCCTAAGCCCTAAACCCTAAACCCTAAACCCTAAACCCTAAACCCTAAACCCTTGGTTTTGTGTTGAAGGCCTGGAAATAAGCAAGAGCAGTCGCGTCGCCTCGGGGATCCGCTTGCGCACAGCCTGATGCAAATTAGGGCTTAGGGTTTAGGGTTTAGGGTTTAGGGTTTAGGGTTTAGGGTTTAGGGTTTGGGTTTAGGGCTTAGGTTCTTCTCTCTCAACCCTGAACCTGTGGTAGTGCAGGATTTCGCGTTTAGAAGGGGCACCCGTGAGAGACCGCAGGCCGCTTAGATGCCGTGTTTGGCCAACACCCACACCCCTAGCGGTTCAAAGGGTCCGGGTCTCCTAAACTCTCGGCCCCAAACCCTAAACCCCAAACCCCAAACCCCAAACCCCAAACCCTAAACCCTAAACCCTAAACCCTAAACCCTAAACCCTAAACCCTAAACCCTAAACCCTAAACCCTAAACTCTAGGCCCTAAACCCTAAATTGTTTGAAAGGTTCTGGGGTTGGGGGTCTTGGGCTCAGTCGCCAGTTACTCCCGTCTTTGCCCATGAAACCTAAACCCCAAACGCCCGAAGCGCCCTAATCCCTAGCTACCAATGCCCTAAAACGCAAGTCCTAGGGTTTAGGGTTGAGGGTTGAGGGTTGAAGGTTTAGGGTTCAGGGTTTAGAGTATTCTTACTTATCTTGAATCTGTAAAAAGAAAAAGATGAACGAAATTCATGCGCCACAAGACCTCCTTGATTTTGCATGGTCTTTTGCTCTTTATATATTTATGCACGGTAACCACAACCCTTATCACGTGCTCATAGTGCTGTTAGTGTCGTACATGGGTCTGATAAATTTGATAGTGCATTTTCTAAGCAGTCAAAAACTGCGGGGGTTTAAGGGGCCAAAAATCCTCTTAAAAAAAGCCCCTTGATAGAAAACCCAAGAAAGATACAGTACTTTTGAATAATGTGTTCCTTTGCAGTCAATGGTCAATAATTCTTCGGTTATCTGCTAAATCCCCACAAAAATTTGCTAATTTTAGTGGCTCGTGTGTGCGTTCACTAAAGCCCCTCATAGATTCACTTTATTCGAAAGGGTTTTCACGCTTGCTGTATTACATTACTTAGCGGGCGTCACTTTATTGGTCTGTTTAACAAGCCCTTTCCGACCCCGAAACCCTAAACCCTAAACCCTAAAGCCTAAAGCCTAAAGCCTAAAGCCTAAAGCCTAAAGCCTAAAGCCTAAACCCTAAACCCTAAACCCTAAAGCCTAAAGCCTAAACCCTAAACCCTAAACCCTATAGACCCTAAAATCCAAACGGTGCTGGGTCAGGAGCGGGACATGTGGTGTGCCAAGGCCAATGCAGCCTTGCCGGAGGACCCTGGCGAGTGGCTGCGGTCTAAGGTTTAGGTTTGGGGTTTAGAGTTTGGGGTTTTAACCCTTCATTCTGAACCGTAAACCCTAATCCCTAACCCCTGACCCCTAAACCGTAAACTTTAAAACCCTAATGAAGTCCAAACCATTCAAGGGTTTCGCAGTGGTTTGTAGGTTTTAGGGGTTTTGGGGTCCTCAAGGGTTTAGGGTTTAGGGTTTAGGGTTTAGGGCCTCAAGGGTTGCTTAGGTTTGTAGGTTCATCGGGCCTGGGTTCTACAGGGCGTCCCTAAACCCCAAACCCGAACAAACCCCAAACCCCACAATCCCCCAAACCCTAAACCCTAAACCCTAAACCCTAAACCCTAAACCCTAAACCCTAAACCTTAAACCCTAGACCCGAAACCCGAAACCCCTCAACCTCCAGGCCGGTTTACACTTCAAGAAACCCCCCAGCCCCCGAAAGCAAACCCAGACACCCCTTGAATCCTTCCTTAGGGTTTAGGGTTTAGGGTTTAGGGTTTAGGGTTTAGGGTTTAGGGTTTAGGGTTTAGGGTTTAGGGTTTAGGGTTTAGGGTTTAGGGTTTAGGGTTTAGGGTTTAGGGTTTAGGGTTTTACGTCTTCAGCACCTCAAGAAACCCCCTCAGACCCCCAAAGCAAGCAAACCCCTAGGCCCTAAAAACCGAACCGTTTTTTTACATCTCCAACTTCCGTTTGAACAGTACAACCCGAGCCCTAAACCCTAAACCCTAAACCCTAAACCCTAAACCCTAAACCCTAAACCCTAAACCCTGAACCCTGAACCCTGATCCCTGAACCCTGAACCCTAAACCCTAAACCCTAAACCCTGTTACATCTTCAACTTCCGCTTGAGTCAGGAGATTCGAATTTTCGGCCGTTCCGGCCCCATGCCGCCGGACTGGCATGCTGAAAGGCCGGGAGGGTTTGAGGTTTAGGGTTTGAGGTGGGTTTAGGGTTTAGGGTTTAGGGTTTGAGGTTTAGGGTTTGAGGGTTTGGGATTTAGGGTTTGGGGTTCAGGGCTCAGGTTATTTGTTGCAGTCGCCCTGCGCAAAGGCTCAAAATCCCAAAAACACCCCACCATCAGCCAAGAGGTTTTGGGTTGCGGCCTCGGGTTTAGGGGCTGTCTTTGCAGGCTACATGATTTCTCGGCCCGCACTCGGCAGAGCGCGGCTGCCCAAAACTTGGCTCGCCGAATCCCTGGCTCTGTCAACCTTAAACCCCAAGCCCTAAGCGTAGGGCTCAGGGCTGAAAGCCTCAAGCCTCAAGCCTCAAGCCGTAAGCCTTAAACCCTAAACCTTAAACCCTAAACCCTAAACCCTAAACCCTAAACCCCAAACCCCAAACCCCAAACCCTAAACCCTAAACCCTTCAACCCTAAGCCGTCGTGAAGCCACGCGGCAGGGGCATCGTCCGGAGATACTTTGCGTGCTTGCTGCCTATGAAGCTTCTTCTGGCGCTGGCCTCAGGCATGGTTTAGGGCTGGGGTTTATGGTGTAGGGGTTTAGGGTTTGGGGTTTAGGGATGGTCAAACCCTAGATTCTACTTGGAGGTTCAAGGCACTTATAACCCCCACTCATAAGCCCTAGGTCCCCTAAAGTCGGAAACATTCTAGTTGGGGATATAAGCGCCCATGAGCCTCCAAGTAAGCCCTCAGCCCAACTCTCCTGGCACGGCCTCGGCATAGTTGAGCTCTTGAGTTGGCGGATGTGCTCAGCTTTCGGGTGGGGAGGGCTCAGGGTCTGGGCAAGTGACGTGGCCTTTCATAATCCTGAAAACCTGGTAGAGCTCGATGGAAGAGGGTTGGCCTACACCCTACTTGGACACCCCTTTTTGCTAGTAAGGTGGGTTCCGGGGGATTAGAATAGGGTTTCTAGGGGATACTCAGTAGACATACTAAGCCAAAAGAGCTTCCAAGTAAACCTCTAACCCTAAACCCTAAACCTCTAACCCTAAACCCTAAACCTAAAGCCTGGGAATCCTAAACCCAAAGGCATGGCTCGCTTGCCAATGTACCTCATCCTGTCAGCGAGCCCAAAACCTTGCACCCCAACTCCTAATTTCAGGATCCTTACGCTCCTCGCGCGTAAATCTAAGCCTAAACCCTAAGCCCTAAGCCCTAAGCCCTAAGCCCTAAACCCTAAACCCTAAACCCTAAACCCTAAACCCGAAACCCTAAACCCTAAACCCTAAACCCTTAAGCCCCAAGGGCCCCCCCCGTCAAACCCTGCGCCCTAAACTCTGTAGGGTTTAGGGTCTATAGGGTTTATGGGGTCTATAGGGTTTAAGGTTCAGGGTTTAGGGTTCAGGGTTCAGGACTCAAGGTTTAGGGTCAACAGGGTTTAGGGTTTAGGGTTTAGGGTTTAGGGTTTAGGGTTTAGGGTTTAGGGTTTAGGGTGCCAGAAGCCGCAAAACCCAAAACCCAAAACCCAAAACCCAAAACCCAAAACCCTCAACCCTCAACCCTAAACCCTAAACCCTAAACCCTAGACCCAGACCCTAGACCCTAAACCCTGGTCCACAAGGTCAATGGGGATGTTGACGCTGGAGCCGAGGAGGCTCAAGGAGCAGACGCAGAGGCCGGCGCAGGATGAACCAGGGTTTAGGGTTTAGGGTTTAGGGTTTAGGGTTTAGGGTTTAGGGTTTAGACCCTAAACCCAAAGCCTAAAGCCTAAACCCTAAACCCGAAGAATAAACCCTAAATGGCCTCTTTTTCAGACCTCCATAAAGGCACCCGATGGCTTCCTAATGATGAAGATGGGGTCCCCTTCTACTGAGCTAGGTTCTCTGGGGTAAGCCCTAGAAGCCCCTAGCCTAAACCCTTGTGAGGGTTTAGGGTTTAGGGTTTAGGGTTTAGAGTTTAGGGTTTAGGGTGTAGGGTTTAGGGTTTAGGGTTTAGGGTTTGGGAACTGAGGGGTTTGGGGTTTCCAAGCCTCGGCCCCGGGACTTGTTGTTAAAAGACGAAACCCCTCAAGCTCGGAACCCTAACGAAGTTCTGATGTCGGCGCTGTAGTCTTCTCCTCAACCTGATGGGTTGTCCCTCTCGGTGGTCCCCGTATGGAGGGTTTAGGGGCTTTCGGGCCCGAACAGACAGAACATTTTGTGATCGAAGACAGATCCAGGTGTTCCAAAGTCCACCCTAAACCCTAAACCCTAAACCCTAAACCCTAAACCCTAAACCCTAAACCCTAAACCCTTGTTTGTAAGCTGCTGATGTAAAGAGTACTCATTGCTTGCCCACCCGCTGCTGTCCTTTATATAAGGCGGGATTCGAATCCATCCTAGGGGGTCGGAATAAATACTAGTAGCATTCCCTTAGCATCCCTTTATCTGTATGCTATAATACCCCCCGCCCCCAACAAAAAGAAGCCTATTCTAATGATTAAGGCCCCTACATTAAGGCAATCTCCGTGCCTGAAGTTTCGTGCAGGTAGGGGTGTGTATATATGGGCATCTCTCAACATAGGGGTTCCCCTCACAAAGCCCAAAAGTCAATTCTGCCTGATCTTCGGACTCTCCAAAACACAGGGGTTTAGGGTTTAGGGTTTAGGGTTTGGGGTTTAGGGTTTAGGGTTTCATATAATTGCACACCTGCACACGCATACGCTATCTCGGGTTTGCATGGTGAAGCGAGCCCTAAGCCCTAAGCCCTAAGCCCTAAGCCCTAAGCCCTAAACCCTAAACCCTAAGCCCTAAACCCTAAACCCTAAACCCTTCAAGTGTAGACAGGCGGGGGGCTACAGCTCCTTCCCTACCATTGCGGCGCGGAAGACGCATGTGCCCTGGTGCCAGAGGGTTTAGGGTTTAGGGGAGATGTTCTTCGGGTTACTTCAAGTCTTCTTGGAAGCCCTTTTGACTTAGTAAGTCGGGCTTATAAGGTGGGAAAAGAATAGGGGTTTCTAGGTAATAAGAAGTAGACAAGAAACAGCTTCCAAGTTGGGGTTGAGCTGCTCGGGACTCTTTCTGCTGCTTGCGTGCTTCGACTGTTGCTTCGCGTCGTCATGTCATTGCTGCTGCAGGACTACGCGCTGGTGGCAAAAACTGCCCCACCATCCCCGAAACCCCAGGGCCTAAACCCAAAAGCCTACATCTCTTGACCCGAACACCCCCTAAAATCCCCGGAGCCCCCAAGCCCAAGACTTTGGGATGTTTCCGCTTATATTAGCAGTCCTTAGTGGCTTTTATATAGTACCCCCGATTATAATCCATATTACGACTGTTAGCAGAAGGCGGAACATCCCAACAGAAGGAAAAACTTCCTAAAGCCCAGGCGAAGAAGGGGCACCAAGCTGGATGGGGGGACACTGCAGACGGCGAGAATCTGCTCGGGAACTTCTTTCGCCTGAAGGACAGGGTTGGGGTCTGGGGTTTAGGCATTAGGTTTTCGGGTTTAGGGTTAGGCCAGGGGTGTATAGGCTTTAGGGTAAGGGGGTTTAAGGGCTTAGGGTGAGGGTGCTTTACGGCTTAGGGCAAACGGGTTCAGGAGTTTAGGGTGTCGGGTGGGTTTCCTTGTTTGAGTTCTTGGAAGTGCTTATGGATGGGAATGTCGAGGCTCAAGCAGTCTTTACGGATTAGGATTTATGATTTAGGGTCTCTGGTTCTGAAGAACCTAACCCCTAAACCTGAAACCCTAGGCCTTAGGATTGAGGGGTTCATGGCCCTATAAACCCCAGCTACTTGCCCGGACGACGACCCGGGAGGGGTGTGTCGACTTGGGCAAAAGAATTTGATGCGGGGGGGCAACAAAAAGGTTTGCATGAGAACTTGGGTCAAAAATTTGCCTGATGAACGGTGGGAACGGACACTTGGGGGAAGGGGGGGACTTAGGGGAAAGGGGAGGGGAGCTACCCGCAGGGGAATGGCCTTTGTTTAGGATGTTTTTGATGCTAGGGTTTAGGGTTAAGGCTTAAACCCTCAACCCAAAGCCAAGACTGGGTGTAGGTTTGACGGGAACATGAACTTCAACCTCAACCCGAAACCGCATAGATATGATTGCTTCCCGCATAGAAGTTTCCGCAAAGTACTTTTCAAATAAGACTAACCAGCTAGGAACCAAATCTTGAAAGACATGGCAAGACGCTTGCATACTTGCATACCCACATATTCAGAATGGCCTAACTACGGAATGTTCCTCGAATAATAGTTTACGGACCTTAGCATAGATGGTTTTGACGTAGATTCCTTAAACCCTGAATCCCAAACCCATTTCGGAAGATCTGGGGGAAGGCAGGGTTCGAAGCTTAGCTTGGGGGGCATTACGAGGTAGGTCGAAGAATGGATTGAGAGTTGAGGGTTTAGGGTTCAGGGTATAGGGTTTCGGGCTCAGGGCCTAGGATTTGGGGTGTTCCTCGAGATAGCTTGTCCGCAAGCTCTAGTCACCGACCACCCCAATCTATTCCCCCCCCCCCTCCCCCGCCCCGCGTTCTGGGCTTAAGGCGTAGTTTCAAGGCCCCAGTGTTTAGGGTTCCTGGATTTATGGATTCAAGGCTTAGGGTTTGTAGAGTTTAGGGTTCCAGGATTTAGGGTTTAGGGTTCAAGGCCTGGGAAATTTTGAGGTTTTGGGTTCATTGAAATACAAAATAGTAGCAAAATCTTATGGCATCCAACAAGTGGGTGGGCAGAGTAGATATTCGGTACCAGTAAGTAGCGATCTTCACTAGCGAATGCTTGGAGCTAAGATGCCGTGCCCTAAGCCCTAAACCCTAAACCCTAAACCTTGTTCTTCATGCTGCGCAGGAGATCCTTCGCAAGATGCAGGGCCGGAAGCCCAGTTGTCCAGATAGCTCGCTGGCTTTTTGGTTGATAATGAAGCAGGATGCCAGCTACCTGGTATCCCACAATAGAAAGTACTTGGGTAGCTTCTTCTGTCTTGGAGTCTTATGAAGAGGCCTTATACATGTCATGAGAGTCTTATATGAGCAGTCACGACTCACCGGAAAATGTCCGCACTTTCCATCTTCTATGGCCACGAATCTCTCTATCTCATGATTAGCCTATGGACATTGAACATTGTTCTAGAGTCCCCCCAAGGTTGCCCCAGGAAACGCCCCACTCTTGTTTCTGTAAACCTCTTCCTTATGCCTAGGCCCATTTCAGGTGGGTAGTTTCCACCCCATGTGCCCTTGTATGCCCTACATATCGCCACTGCCCTCATATACCCACACCCCTAAACCCGAAACCCTAAACCCTAAACCCTAAACCCTAAACCTACCCAACAGCCCATGGAGCGACGCTGAGCTCAGGGGAACACCTCTTCCACAACTTTTCCGAGCCGAGCTCTCAGCCAAGTGAGATGCAAACATTTGGAGTATAGGGTTTAGGGTTTAGGGTTTAGGGTTTAGGGCACCCTTATTGGTAGGCATGAAGTAAGAAGGCCTTCAACCCTAAACCTTGGTGCTTGTGTTCCACCGTAGTAGTGCTGTTCCGTGGTGTTCCGTGTTAGGGGCGCTGACAGAAAGGGGTATATGCCTCTCAAGAAGGGTTAGGGTTAGGGTTTAGGGTTTAGGGTTTAGGGTTTAGGGTTTAGGGTTTAGGGTTTGGGCTGTCCTTTTTCAGTTTAGGGCACCAGGGTTGAGGGTTTGAGGTCTTTGGCGTACAAGAGCAATCCCCTATCCTGAACTTGCAACCCCAACGCCCTCAATACTCTTGAAGCATTTCCGTTCTCGCAGAAAATACGAGAACAGCGTAACGTAGGAAACCCGGCGGCGCTCTTGTTGCGTTGTGCTGGGGGGTGGGGGGGGGTCACGGTGTCGGTTTCCCTTAGAAACTCCGTTAGGCAAAAATGGGCACCCTTTCTACTGGTATCAACACGACAAGGAGTGCTCAGAGATCAGCCCTTAATGGATTCTGTGGGTTTGAGGGTTTCGGGGTGTAGGGCCCTAATCCCTGTACTGAACCTTAAACCCCTAAATCCTAAACCCTAAACCCTAAACCCTAAACCCCAAACCCTAAACCCTAAACCCTAAACCCCAAACCCTAAACCCCAAACCCCAAACCCTCAACCCTAAACCCTAAACCCTAAACCCTAAACCCTAGCGCATACATCTTAAACCCAAAGCTCACCCGTAGGTCGGCCAGGAAGGCGTAATGTCCTGATTTCTGGCCCTAAACCCTAAACCCTAAACCCCAAACCCTAAACCCTAAACCCTAAACCCTAAACCCCTAAACCCCTAAACCCTAAACCCCTAAACCCCTAAACCCTAAACCCTAAACCCCTAAACCCTAAACCCTAACCCCTAAACCCTAAACCCTAAACCCCTAAACCCTAAACCCTAAACCAGCAGCCAAGGCTGTCGCTGAAGCCTGGCGACACTGCAGCTCGACGCTTCGTTTACCGCTGTCGCGCGATGGAAGCTTGGACTCGGATTCTTGAGCTTAGGGTTTGGGGGATTGGGGTTTAGGGTTTAGGGTGTTCAGGGTTTGGGGTTTAGGGTTTAGGGTTTAGGGAACCGGGTTCAGGGTTTCGAGTTTAGGGTTTAGGGTGTAGAGATTAGGGTTCAGGGTTTAGGGTTTAGGGTCTAAGTCTAGGGTATGTCCAGTGGTGTGCTGCGCCGCTCAGCATCCACAGCAACATGTCAAGGGGCACGTGTGTTGATGTGCATTCACACGCACACACACACACACAGACACAGGTATGCACATGTACGTCTGCGGATGTCAAGAGGCTGCAGTATAGAACCTACAATAAACGGGTACGCAGCCGTACGTGTAGAGGCAACGGCGCATATGTTTGTATGTGTACAGCTGAGTAGTATCTAAAACCCTAAGCCCGAGACCACTAAACCCTAAACCCTAAACCCTAAACCCTAAACCCTAAACCCTAAACCCTAAACCCGAAACCCCAAACCCGAAACCCTAAACCCGAAACCCTAAAATGCCTTAAAGCCTCTTTCAGGTTGACCCATCCACGGGAGTCGCCGGCTTCCACGCGTCGGTAGACAGCCTGGCGCCTTTGCTGCCGCTTGAAAGGTTGAGGGATTTCTAATAACCCTAAACCCTAAACCCTAAACCCTAAACCCTAAACCCTAAACCCTAAACCCTAAACCCTAAACCCTAGACCCTAAAATCGGGGCGGGGCGCTTCAGCCCCGATTTTGGGGGTTTGGCCGTTTGAGTCCCACCTAGGACCCTGCTGCGTGCAGGCGCAACTATTACCAGAATCCCGAATCCTGGCGGACGCCTCCCTAAGGACCCTAAATCCAAGCCCTTTTTCGAAGCATGCTCTCGCGTCAACTGTCACACTCCAAATCAGGGCTTTTTTGAAGGAAGCTCCTCAACCCCTGGACGGAGGAAATATTTGGAAGCAGGCAATTGAGTGAGTGTAGGCTTAAGCCCTGAGCCCTAAACCCTGAACCCTAAACCCTAAGCCCTAAACCTGAAGGCCTACAAGGAACAGATCAGGGTGGTTTATGTAGCCATGGGTGCAAGTAGTACAAAAAGGATTAACTTGGATCTGTTGCCGAATGGCTTTGGAACCCTCAGTCCTACTTGAAGGTTAGCGTTTGGGTACTACCCCTAAACCCGAACCGCAAAAACCCTACAAGCCCTGCAACCCCTAAACCCTAAACCCTAAACCCGAACCACAAAAACCCTACAAGCCCTACAAACCCTACAAACCCTACAAAACCTACAAAACCCTACAAAACCCTACAAAACCTACAAAACCCTACAAAACCCTACAAAACCTACAAAACCTACAAGCCCTAAACCCTAAACCCTAAACCCTAAACCCTACACCATAAACCCTACACCCTAAACCCTAAACCCTAAACCCTAAACCCTACACCCTAAACCCTAAACCCTAAACCCTAAACCCTAAACCCTAAACCCTAAACCCTAAACCCTAAACCCTAAACCCTAAACCCTAAACCCTAAACCCTAAACCCAACTTCTCTGTTCAGAGGTCAGCGGCCAGCTCAGGGCCATGTCTGGGTTGGCCATCGCTTTGCAGCATGGGCTGCTGCCGGAGCGTGGTTTCAGGGGTTTAGGGTTTGGGGTGTAGGGTTTAGGGATTTGGGGTTTAGGGTTTAGGGTTTAGGGTTTAGTGTTTTGGGGTTTAGTGTTTTGGGGGGTGGGGGGGGGGGGGGAAGGGGGGGCTGTAGGACTTTGGGGCAGGGTTCAAGGGTTCAGGGGTTTGCCTCTGAAGGCCAAAAAGCCTAAAACCTGGACCTTTACCCTATGCCCTAAACCCTGAACCCTCAGCCCTAACCCCAAAGCCCCCTGAGGACAAGTACCTGGACATTGCCTTTAGCGAAGACCGGCTCATTCCCGTCCCGAGCCTGCCGAAGGGCACCGAGTTCCAGACGGAGTGCATCTACAGAGACTTGGTCCGTTGAGGGGTTGGAGCCTAGTAGCAGAGTAGGTAACCTTGACCCTTTTTGGGGTAGTTTAATCCCCTTAGATTCCGAAAGGTTCACCTTTAATTCAGGCAGGTTACTGGACAACTGAGGGAGGGCTTGGGGAGTTGAGGAGTTGAGGGGTTGGGGGTTTGGGGGGCTTGAGCGTTGAGGGAAGGGCCCAGAAAGCTCTTGAGCCCTGAAGCCCTTACACCTTCGAAGCCCCAAGCCCCAAACCCCAAACCCTAAACCCTAAATCCGAAACCCTAAACTTCTCTTTGAAGGCCCTGAACCCAAGCTCTCACGGCCCTAAACCCTAAACCCTGAAGCCTCCGCATGCCGCAACCCTAAACCTTAGACCGTAAGCCCGAAGCCCTAAACCCTAAACTCTAAACCCTAAACTCTAAACCCTAAACTCTAAACCCTAAAATCCTACAGGAAAGGACTTCCACCACCTCCTTCAGCCTTTCTTCAAGAGTGCGGAGGCCGTCAGGTTTCGCACGAAGGCCCGTTTGGGGTTTAGGGTTCCCGGGTTTAGGGTTTCGCTCTTGCCTTCCTTGCAGTTGTTAGGCTTCTAAACCCTAGACCCTAAACCTTAAACCCTAAACCCTAAAGCCTAAAGCCTAAACCCTGAACCCTAAACCCTAAACCCTAAACCCTAAACCCTAAACCCTAGTCATGAGTTGAAGAGCTGCGAGGGGCTTGCAGGCGGTTTTTTGTCTCGCAGGCCATCGGCTTCCATGCAAAGCACCCAAGAAGAGAACACACTTACACCCTAAACCACTAAACCCCTAAACCCCTAAACCCCTAAACCCCTAAACGCCCTAAAACCCCTAAACCCCTAAACCCCCCTGAACCCCCCTAAACCCTAAACCCTAAACCCTAAACCCTAAACCCTAAACCCTAAACCCTAAACCCTAAACCCTAAACCCTAAACCCTAAACCCTAAACCCAGGTTGAGGCGCAGCTGGAGGCGGAGGCGCTGAGTGGCACATTCCTCGACTGGTTCCGCGACGAATTGGCGGGGACCCCTAGCGTGGCTTGTAGTTCCTGCTAGGGTTTAGGGTTTAGGGTTTAGGGTTTAGGGTTTAGGGTTTAGGGTTTAGGCTGTCTAGGGTTAGGGTCTAGGGTTGAGGGTTTCGGGTTTAAGGTTTAGGGTTCAGGGCTGGAGTGTATACGGTTTAGGGTTTAGGGTTTAGGGTTTAGGGTTAAGGGTTAAGAGGATGGGCCCTTGCGATGTCTTATATTGTCCCCTTATTGGGATTAAGAGGATCATATCTAGCAAGATTTTGCAGAGGGTGTAGAGGGCCAACCTGAGTTGGTTGTTCCT